TAAATAACAAAAGCATGCAGTTCAGGTAATAAACACTGAATTAAGAAATTCTGAGTGCTAGGTAAAGACTATGTTTCAAAAAAAGCAGGGTAGACGTAGTACTGTAATATTGGTGCAAATTTTTTGCACCAGTTATCACAACCTTCGAGGCAAAATTAAGCTCATGAATAAGATTGCCAAAAAAAATGATTTCAACCTTATGCTTGGAATATATGAAAATCAGTGTCAAAGAAACTTAAGTTTGAAGTTTAACAATTGTGAGAGACAGTGAGTTACTGTTAATATTTTTAAAAATTGTAAATAATTGAGCAAAAGGACATTTTCTGCTTCTACTGTGCTATGTGTTATTTCTTAATAACATTGGCATATTTTGGAGCAATTTAACAAATTTTACAATTCCTTATGATATATGTTCAAACTGTAATATTGACTTATATATTTTCCCCAAACCCTCTCTTTGCTATTTATTTATCTGCAAAGCACCCACCCAGAAAACTATCTGTTTTAATTTAGCAATTCTGGTCTTATGACTATAGGGCCTAAGGAGTAAAACATTGCAGTTACCAACTCAGTGCAAATAAGCGATTATGGAAGGACCCTTGCTCAGATATCAGAATTCACCTCTTATTCTGTCATTTCCTAAAGACCGTCTTTCTTCCTACCAGACTCCCACTTCTTGTATTTGATTATGCTCTTTGTAGATACTAGTTGTTTAAAATTAGCTTGGTAATTTATTTTAAAACAGACTTATTTGATTTGTTCATTGTTTTTATAAGTCACATATTTTATACAGTACATTTAAGAGAAGTAACTCAAAACAACAATTTCACTTATCATCTAGTTTAGTGGTTCTCAACTCTGGCTGAACATTAGAATCTTCTGGGATTTTTTTAACAGCTCCAGGAAAAGGGTTTAACTTCAGGCAAATTAAATCAAGAACCTCTCGACATGGGCAAAGACACTGCTGTTTTTAAATCTCCCCTAGTGATTCAAATGTGCAAGAGTTGAGATCCTCAAATTCAAGCTTCTTCATTGGCAGTCTAAGAAAGCCAGTCACATGTTATTCAATCTTGGAAACAAAAATTTGAAAGTAACAGCAGAGAATCATAATAAATTTCCTTTCAGGGAATGCTTTGAATTAATAAATCTTTGGGTCACATATTTCTGTCTAAAGTCATAAACGTTTAACATATGCTCTAACCTGTGGTAGATTAATTTTGAGAGATCTGTTTTATGTTGTTGAGATTCACTGTAATTTTTTTCATAAAACCTAATTTGCTTGTGGGTTTTTTTTTTTTTCCTTTACACAAGGTTTGGAAAATTGGCTAAGGCAGGGCATAGCATTTGGTGCTATATGTTCTGGGGCTAGGAAATTGCAAAGACTGTTTTATTCAGCATTTTATATAGCATTAAAAAAAATACTTGGCCATTGATGGATCCCATACAAGCAAATCAGATCCCTAAATAAGAGTTCACTTTCATGGATTCCAATTATTCATGCCAATGTAGTGATAATCTCCAAGAAGGTGTATATGTAACATCATCTAATTTCAAGCAAACTCCCTGCCTGAGATAAATGATTTCTGAGTAGAGTTACTTAGAAGAAATTAAATTCCTGTAGCAGTAATTATTTCTGATTGTATTCATCATGTCTTGTGAATTCATCAACTCTTTGATCCACAACCACTTTGTACCCTGTTCCTCTTTCTATAGGTTTATTAGGAAAGTCATACTGGGGAATGAGATAAAAACAAACCCTCCACGCTTCACATCACCTGCTACATGCAGACCTAGGTCTATTTTATTTTTAACTTGAGGGTCAATTTATTTCCAAAAACATGACTAGATGCATCTGATTCTGACCTTTCAGATCTCTTTTTATTAACACAACTTGAGAGCTAATCATTCACTAGATGCCCATAAAACACATACCTGGCAAGTTCTTCTGTTTTCTTACTCCTTCTCTTTGCAGAATTTTGATAAACGTTTAAGGGTTAGAAAGATAACAATCCTGCTAGCAAGGTGACTGAGACTAATTTACTGCTTGGTGTATATAAGCTTTTTGTGTTCATTTTATTTTGAATTCCAGAACCTCCATTGATGTCTAAAGTTCTAATTTTATGGGACAAGCATATCATTCCTCTATCTTTATTCTGCAGATGAGAACATAGACAAGAGAAAATAAGTGACTTATTCTTGGAAGGCACTCTCATTTTCTGGTTTGATTCAAGAGTAAAAATGAAATTATTGAGAACAATAGGCTCACTCTATTCCCTTCAGGCAATGTCTCATAAATATTATTTCTCAAAATCAAGCTTTGATAAAACTCAGCTTGAGTTTTACCAACCTTGAGACTTCAAGGTTGGAATTTCAGGCAAGAACTTAGAATCTGGACATTGCTAACTGCTAATTAAAAGAAGATTCATATACTTTGATAGATAACTGGCCAGAGGGCCAAGGTAAATTTGTCTTATGAAGACACATAATATGAGCACCTGTATGGATAGCCACCTTGCCCAGCATGCAGGTAGGCAAAGAAATAATAAAAGGAAGGACAGCCTACCTCCAGATTTGGTGGCAGTGGACCCCATCAAAATGACTTGCCTGTGTTTTAAGAGCTCCAGCCTATGTTGGAGGAATGTAATTTAAAACAAAAAAATTATTCTGCTAACCCAGAAGCCCTCTTCACAAATGCAGTAGAGAAAGAAAATCATTGTATTATTGAATAAGCATTGAACCAGAATGTGATATACATCAAAGACAATCACTAAGAGATTACAAAGTCAGGAAGAAATCCTACCCTTCATATAGCCAAGCAGATAGAACCCATATATACCATATTTGCCGGCGTATAAGACGATTTTTTGGCCCTGAAAAATATGCCTCCAAGTGGGGGGTTGTCTTATACGCCAGGTACACTTCAGATNTGTTCTCTAAGGCAATGCTTTTAATTTAAACCTCTCTCTCTCTCTCTCTCTCTCTCTCTCTCTCTCTCTCTCTCTCTCTCTCTCTCATTACTTAAATATCCTCCAATTCCCTCCCCCATCCATATTTTGCACTTCAGCCACAGTGCCCTTTTTTGAAATGAAAATCTGATCACACATACCCCTTTCTTGCTTAGAGTACTTCAATGGCTTCTCACTGCCTAGAGAATGAAGCCCAGACTCCCTATCTGACATATAAGCTCCATTGTATTGTGTCTCTTGCATGGCCTTTCATAGCTAGACCAGCCACTCTTGACCTGCCTCTGATCTCTGAAAGGGACAATCTTGCCTTTAGGATGTGACTTTTCCTTTAGCAGATGGTACACATCTCTCCTTTCCCCTGTCTCTCGCCCTCCTATCTCCTGCGTATCTTCCCAGTGGCATGTTACCACTTCACACTTGCTTTGAAAGTACAGCCTCTGGAGACTGTCACCCTGGATTCCAGTTAAGGCTTTGCCACTTTCTAGGGTTGGACGTTGACTAAATTATTCTTCCTCTCAATTTTCGTTTCCTCATCTGTGAAATGGGGTAAAATTAGTACTCACCTCATTAGGTTGTTGTGAAAACTAAATAAACAAATACGTATAATGAATTTATCATGTGAGTATATAATAAATGATTATAATTAAATCCATTAACATCAAATTTTATTTAGAGTTTTTGGTCAGCTTGAGGATAATAAAAGGCAAACCTATGGTGACAAAATCTCTTAATTAGAAAAAAGCATTCCAAAGCCAATTATAAATGAATTGGGGATTATCAATTAATTAGTATCAGTTATTTTCTGTTCTTTTTTGTTGATTAGGATAACTAACACATAGTTTTTGAAATTCAAGATTAAAATGAAATAGATTTAAATGAAGGAATACCTATATTGAAAAGAAGGAATGGAATGTAAAAGAGGGAAGCCTAAGAAAATGTGAGGTGGGACCTCCTTGCCCTCCCCAGCAGAGAGTGTTGGCATCCTCCTGGGGGTCAAAGCTAAATTTCTGGGATCTTTTGAATTGTCCTGGAGGATTAGGAGCTAGTCACTGTTCTATGATTTATTGATCAAATCAACACCCTATTAAGAGTAAAAGGGAGTCAATCATTTCCATAGCCCTGATTTGTTCAGGACAATAGCAGAACCAGGGACTGTTCATGTCAAATCAGGTATTTTGGTTACCCTAAAGGTGGAGTGAGGAGAGATGCTGAATCAAGGGATATATAGATTTATTATAAATGACTGCTCTCCCTTCTCGTGTGTGTGTGTGTGTGTGTGTGTGTGTGTGACCCTCATTCTTTCTGTCTCTTTTTCTAGCATATCTATGACTTTCTTCTAATTTAACAAGTTTAAGTGTATGTATAATGCTCAGAAGACCCATGCAATAATTAAAATTCTCATATAAGCAAAAGAAACTCCCTTTTATTAAAGTGTCACTGTGTTGTAAACTACATTATAATAACGTTGTCTGGTAAGATTGCAGTGTTTATGAAGTCCCTGTATATTGAGATTATTATTGTTTGCAGTAATGCACAATGCTTTACATTCCAAATAAGCATTTACTATCTGTAGATAAATCTTCATAAACTGTGGGTCTGAACATGATTTATCTCTTTGGCTTTGGAACTTTTCAACCTGAGGCCTATTGTGAGAGTTGAAACATAAGTATAACTTTGTTTCCTCTTTATGATATCTATCCATGTGGTTTAATAATTCATTCATTCAATAAACACTTAATAACTGTCTTTGCTATATGCTAAGCACTGTTAGAGTTTATGAGGGACAGAAAAATAAATAAGATGTGGTCTTATGCTCAAAGTATTCACCATCTGCCAAAATTATTTTCTATGTTAAGAATATCTCCCTTTGTTTTTAATAACAATCAAATTTTAATGTTTACACTTGATAGAATCTACTGTGATCAGCAAGAGTATACTTATGTCATTGTTTAACTATCTATTGAAATGAAATTTAAATATTTATTTCTCCTCACTTCTACCCCTCATCACATCCTGGGCATCTTTTCTACGAAGCTGAGTCATCCAATGGTGGCTATTCCTGAACATGAAACTCTTGATTCCAAAGAGGTAAATGGAAGATACAGCTGGAGATCTAATTATCCATTTCCATGTGATATTAGATCATAGAAATAAGCCAATCTCATTTAATACATATATATTAATAAGGTTGTATTTTGTTTTTGTAAAGAAGGAATTAACTGGCCCATTCTGTGTTGTTCAGAAGAATCTGATCTTTAAATAAGTAAATTTTTGCTGCTGCTTAATGTGGAAGGTGATACTAGAGATTCCCACATGTGTAGCACCTGGATCACAAACTAACTCCTTTTATTCTGTTTTGTCTTTGTGATTTCCTCTTTGGAGTCACTGTGAAACCACAGTTGTTATCTTTAGAGGGTCAGTGGATGTCCCATAATACTTATGATGTGTTTCCTGAATCAGAGGTCTCAGGATCTCATGGTATCTCAGTTTCACGACCCTCACATAAATTTTGCATATGGCAGGTAGCATACAGGCAAAAGCATGCCTGCTCAAACATAGCTTCTAAGTTTCATGCAAATGTTTAGCCACTTTTACATTTTGAGGTGATAGACCATATATATATATATATAATTTAATTTTGTAAATACTATATTAGAGAAACAGGGAAAAAAATCTGTAAAGAAAGTTTTAATTTTGTGTTAATCAAGAGCAAGAATAATTGAACAATGTTTTTTCTTCTACATCTTCTCAGGCAAAGTGGCAAGTATAAAAAGAAGTGATTTCTTTTAAAGGATTCACCTTTAAGAAAGGAATAAGTATGCTCACTCGCTCATTTCAGATACCCTCATAAGTGAGGCATGCTTAATTTTTCAGCCTCTGAGTTTGGGGGGGGGGCGGGGAAATATAGTACAAAAGAAGTAAGAATAATAAAATTCCAAATAAAATCTGAATATTTTCCCTAAAACATCTTTTCCCCAATTTAGGGCATATCATCCACTTTTCATAAATTGATATCCCTATTTCTGCAAATTTTAAAACCTTTAGCATACAAGACCAGCGTGCTTCTCTGCTATAACATTAGTCATTAAAATATAAAAGGCATGTTATGAATAGAGGTGGATTCATATCCTTGACCACATCTCTGATTTTTTAAAAAATAGAATGATTGGGGGCCGGCTGAGTGGCTCAGTTGGTTAAGAGCTCGCTCAAGAGTTTGAGCTCTGAGCAACAGTGGTTCGAGTCAGCCCGAGCTGAGCAGCCGNTTTTTGGTGTTGAGTTGAATGAGTGTTTTATAAATTGTGGATATTAACCCCTTATCAGATATATCATTGGCAAATATCTTCTCCCATTCGGTAGGCTGTCTTTTTGTTTTCTTGATGATTTCCTTTGCTGTGAAAAAACTTTTAAGTTTGATGTAATCCCATATGTTCATTTGTTCTTTTATTTCCCTTGCCCCCGGGGATAGCTCAGTAAAAATATTACTGAGGGTGATGTCTTTCAGCCATATCTTAAAGGGCCTTCCTTCTACAAAGATCAGAGAAGAAAACTCGTTTTCTTACTGGTGTTAGACAAGTATTAGACTCACTGGCACTTAGACTCCCATGTAATGATGTTAATGACCAGCAGTTAATAGTGAGTTTTCTGTGGCTTTATATGATAATTAACACGTACGAAATTCCAACTAAATATGTGATACCACTCAGGGAATACACAAAGTAACGTAAAACTTTGTAGTGTTTTTAAAAGTTCATATAAGGAGCAAGTGTCACAGGTAAGAACTGATGGTAAGGATCCCAGTTAAGATTTTATGGCGCGTTCATTTTTACCATTGCTGGAGGGATTCCTTCTACATCAGCTGTGGCTCAGTTCAAGAGACTTTAAAAAAGGGAGCACTTTTTTTTTTCTAAGACAGCATCATTGATCAATGAACAGATTTTTGCTTAAGCATCACAGATTCATTGAATTATCTAAGTAGAAGAGGAACTGGAACTCATCTAGTTAGGGCCCAGATTTTACAGATGAGGAAACTGAGGCCCAGAGACAAAGTGATTTTCCCCAGGCCACAGAGGGAGTTAGTGGTATAAACAAACCCATAAACCTTTGGGCATCACCAAAAACAGATGCTGTATGTTTAAATTCTAATAAATATTTAAGCTACTGATTTTTTATTTTTAATATTTCAGGCTAATGCAGATGAAATCTTTAAGACATACGGATAGGAGTAGCCTGTCTCTGACTCTCATTCAAAACAGCTTTTTCCTCATCGCATGCATCACAAATGTCCCGCATTTAGGAAAAACTCAGCACTACTCACGTTTTGTCCCAAGGCATAGAATCTTCAGCAATGAAATAAAGCAACTAGTGTCTGGTGCACAAGTGCTGGGATGTGGTGGGCCCTGACCCCCAGCAGTTTGCAGTATTTTTGGAAAGTGAGATAAACTCACGTGTAACAGCCTTCATTCATTTAATTAACATTTTCAAGGCTTCCTCCTTCGCTTCCTCAGTGGAGTTGATGTATGCAGAACAGCTTCACCGTGACCCTCCAGCCTCGGTTCCTGGCATTCTTACACTCATTTTGCCCTTTCGCTCCAAATTTCCTCTGTATCTTCCCCTCAGCTCAGCTGTAATTTCTTTTCAGCTACTAATTTCATATGTACTTTCTAGACCTGTTATCGCGATTAGGTGATTTAGCCTTTATATTTCAGCCTCTGGGGAAGAGGTTCCGTCATCCTTCTAGACTAGTTCAGATTTATCTGTTCTGAACATAGCACTGGGAACTTTTACTTCAGAACACATCATTTTGTGTTGTTTCTAGATATTCCTGATTAGATAATCCATATCTCCCTCCCACTACACTGACCTCCAAGGGCAGGGACAATGTCTGTTCACTGTAACATCGCTAACATCTAGCAAAGTGCCTGGGATATTTGCAGGCACTTAATAAAAAATATCTGTGCTAAATTATTTAATTATACAATTGCAGTACAATTTCATTGATTAGAACATTTTGAATATAATTCATTTCAGTTGTGAATAAACACATGAAAAACATCCATTGCATCAGTTCATACAAAAGCACTGGTTATGGCCTCACAAATCAACCTATGAATGAACATTAGCATCAGCTGAGAACCCCTTAGAAGTGCAGACTCCAGGGCCCCTCTTCAGGCCTACTGTGTCAGAATCTGAAATTTAGAGACTCCTTATGTACTTCCTATGCACTGGTATATACTGTAAACCAGGGATGAAAAACTCCAATATTTTCTTAGGCCAGATCCCTTAAATGAGTGAAGTAAGGCAGATATACAGAGGGTGCCAAAAATATATATATACACATTTTAAGAGATGTTACCTATGCTCAAGCAGTAGTGCTCTGTAATCAGAAGTGTCTGGATGCTGATGGTAACCACTTTGAGCACCTCTTGTAATTGTAGAATTCAAACACGTCATGTATTCATTTTTTTGTCATCGGTATATATTGAGTATTACAATTTTAATAGTTTTCTCCCTTCCTTAAAATGTGTATACATTTTTTTGATACCCTCTGTTATGTATAAGCAGGATAATAGGTCACCTCTGACACTTGGCCTCCTCTTAGTAGGAGTGGTGGGGCTGTGTTGACATGGAGATCATTAGAGCTTCATCTAAAATGATCAGGCTGCTGCACAGATCAAGATGATTGTAGGACTAGTGTTGCAAGACTTTTGAGCAGTTCAAGAGAAAGAAACACAAACCTGCAAGTAGAGTCTGTGAACTCAAACACTGACTAACAAAATTCAATTCTTTGGAAAGTAGCAAAACTGTGAGGGTCAAAGAGAGCACGCATGTGTGAGAGTTCTAGTTGAAGGTCTCCAGCTTACAAAGTTTCATATAAACGAGGAGACCTTTAGGAATGTAGAAAACACTTCCTAATTCTTCACAAATACAGACTTCTTTAATTCAGCAAGTCAGAAAACCCTCTTTGTTTTCTCTAGGCATTTTATTCTTTCTTTCATTAATTTATTCATTCAGTACTGATTTAGTGTCTGCTCTGTGCTGAGGGGGCCCCATGCTGGGTGCAGAAGACTAAAGGTAGATAACACATAATCCACATGACTTCCATGGCTGACAGTCTCATAATGACAACCTCGTATTATGAAACATAATATTTTATATAGGTATTGCTACAGTAATTTGTCAGTTCTCCTGAGAGGTGTTCTTAAGAAAGTTTCACTCTAGCTTGAGGAGTTCACAAATCTAGTTCGAGAGACAAGAGGTAGAAGGTACAGCTTACGGAGGCAAATGGAGTAAAGGATGTTTACAAGAGGATGTGGTTCAGAAAAAGAAAAAAAAAAAAAGCCAAAGAAGTAAATTCTGAGTAACATGTATAGCACCCTTGGCAATATAAAAAGGTTCCCATTTCTTGCAACACTTCGTCAACTTTGTATTAATAATTTCTGGCAGACGAGAAAACCTACTTCATCTTCGTGTAGGTGGGAGAGTTATTTCATAAAAGTTAGAGCTTTGAACTTAATTTCTCAGATAGATTAAAGAATTAAGTGATTTAAGCACATTTTGCATCTTTTTTATTTCTAGTTACAGGGTTCTCATTTTTCTAGTTGGTTTGAGGGAATTTTATAATGTGTGTCTTTGTCAGACAAGTTTGTGTTACCTCTGGAAAGCAGTGACGTTTATGGGAACAAATGCTTCACAAGGCTCTATATTAGTTTGGTGGCAGCTGTGATCAAGAATCTAATAAAAATCAAGTGAACGTTTTATTCAAATAGCACTTGTTGATGATTCCACAATGGTGAGTGAGCAAAGGTCTAATTTGTTACACAATATATGAAACTGAAGTCTCCATCCAGGATAATAGCATGTTTTGTTTCATTGCATCTGAGCCTTCCCTTTCATCGATCCTTCTATGTTGAATAATTATCGGATTATAAAATTAATAACTTTTCACTTTATTATTTGGATGCAAAATAGTCATTTGTTCTCCAGAACAGTTACCACAAAGTAAACAGGCTTGGGGACTCTCTCTGTCCAGTATTCACTTACTCTCTCTTTCTCTGTAGATAGCCAGCCAATCACTTATATAGAATTTA